ATTATGATATGTAATTTATTCTAAAAATATTATAATTTTGATACTGTGAGAGTGAATACGAAATAACCAAGTGTTTCCTCATAAAGCAAATATTCTCAGAAGAATTATAATGAGATTTTAAAGAAAGAAAATAATTACTAATAAATCTTAATATCAAGCAAGCAATTATTAGTTTTTGTCCTATAACTAGTTATTAGAGATTACTCTACTGTTACCAAACTTTTTAGTAATTATTATTTTTTTCCTAATACATATAGTAGTTATTCCCATATTCTTTAAAAGTGGGGAATGATATACAAAGGAACAGAGTACACAGAAAGAGAGATACTGGCAAGCTGTAGAATATGATTCCAAGCACCGAGGTCTTTATCCTTTTTTCCTTTTTTCAATTTTTTGGGAATATATTCGATCACCTGTATATATATGAGTTACAAATAACATTTTTTTTAGTTTCTTTTTTCAATTTGAAAGCTTAGTGAGCTGTTCATATATATCAAACGATCTATCCAACAGGTTGTTATGTTCATAGTATTCTTTTACCATTTCTTTTCTATTACTCTCGGTTCCAATTGTAAGACCTGATTTATAATATACAAATAAGGTCTTAATTCTGATTTGTAATATATAAATAAAGTCTTATAATTAAAATTGAAGGTAATAAATATTATTTACCCATATTGTTGGGACAACAGTGGGTTGGCTGTTAACTTTTATTTCCAAATTGCATTAGTACGTTGAATGAAACTAGCTACATCAACAATAACAGTTAAAATGTTTTGCTTCCTCTAAAACAATTGCATTATTTCCAATTTCTATAACTTTGTGTGGCAAACCCAAATCAATTTGGTTCAAACATTTTAGAAACTCGTTGATTTGAGCCAAAATATTGTGAGCTTTGTCAACTTTATTAATATTATACTTGTGATGAAATTGCAGCTATTCCCCCCTAAATTCCTCATATTTTCCTCATATTTTGATCTAAAGAGGAATAAAAGACCTCTTACTAGATCGCATTTTTCTAATAATGCTTGTACTAGCATGAGCTCTTAAAAATCCAAGTAGTCATCATCATCCAAATTACTCATCTGGTCATTAATATAAGATTTAATTAACTAATTTGGATAAATTAAAGATGTTAATTAAATTAGTTAATATGATTTTTTTAAATACCCTAATTATATATCTTCTTCAATTCTCTCCCTTTCTCTCCTACTTGATTATTTTTGAGTGAATATTAATAGGGTTAATTTGAAAAAATATTGATAAACATGTAAAATAGGTCTTGTATATAGGACTAATATCAACTATCAAATTAGATTCTACATTAAAAACCGAAAAAGTATTTTTTTTCCCCCATAAAAGATGCATAAGCCTATCAACCACATATGAATAACCACAGCAATCCAATTTCATGAGCCATCACCTCTATTCTTGATTTATATAATCTTATAATTTTGTGCGTATCAGCACTGGAAAATTGCAATTTTAGCCGGTGAGAAATCCCTCGCTAATTTCGATACTAAACATCATAATGCTAAATTTCAATTTTCAACGACAAAAGCTTATTATTTCTTTTCTAATTAACGAAAGCTATATATACATAAATAGCAAGGGATAATGATATGTTCACTTATTTAGCGAGAATATCCCAACCTCACTGCTATTGCTATTTCCTCTTAAAAATTAGTGACAGATTAGAGATGGATTATGTTCCTTAATTGCAATATTAGCAAGCTATCGGCTTAAACCTCACTATTTCCTGGCTAAAAGATTTATATGCTCACATATATATGGCAAGAATTTTAGGCTGGTTTAATTTGACATTCCTCACTAATTTTGCGAGGATACTCTCCCGCCACAAATCCTTCACCGTACCAAAGCTTCTATTTGTACTACCTCCCCTGATTGATTAATTTAAGGAGATTAAGAATGATAAATAAATTTCTTTAAATAGTTATATTTATCACTTTTTTAAAATTAATTTGCTTAAATTATAAATTGATATATAATCTAATAATACATATAAGTATTTGAGAAAGATCACCTCACATATGTTGTAATTAACTGATTTTGTTTACTTTATTACTATCATCAAATTAGTCAACTGGGTTTTAATTATCATAAAGACTAGAGGTAATGCCTTATGTTTGAGACAAGAAGAAGCAATAATCAAGACTAAGTTTGAATACTTATGATGTATATATGTACTCCTTCGGCCCTTAATATAAGATCTAATTACCTAATTTAAATAGATTAATGATATTAGTTAAATTAGTTAATATGATACATTCTTTATAAAACACTGGGTTTAGATGCTCTCAGAATCCTTCTTTCTCCTTTTCTTCTCTGAATTTCATCTCCACCGTTGGATCAAATAATATATGGTTCAGATCTAATATTTTAAAAAGCATATGTCCACCTTCTCTCTCTCCTGTTTATGTAATGTTATAATAATAGTTTTAGAAAGTATGGAATCTGAACCATTTATTGTTTGATCCAATGGTAAAAGATCATATGCGGAGAAGAAAACGAGAAAGAAAGATTCTGAGAGGATTCAAACCTTAAAACACTCTAAACATCTTTCTTAATTTCATCCCTCCTTCTCCTACTTAATTATTATTAATGGAGGAATATTAATAGGATTAATTTGGAAAAAAATTGATAAACATGTAAAATATGTTTTACATATATGATTAACATTAAATCCCCAATTAGGTGTTATATTAAACATTAGAGGAGTGAGTATATATATATATATATATATATATATAAAGCTCACATATAAAAAAAACATATAGAACTAAAGTTCTTTTTGTATGTATAACAATAGTTCACCCAAGATGCAGAATCTGCTAAATGGTGATGTTTCTTTCACTGTTTTTGTAAATTCTTGCCGAATAAGCTGGGATGAATGACTAGCTACTGATAACAACTATGTTGAAAGTAATGTTCAAATTAGCTAGAGCTTCAAATTCATGCCATCGTATACTGCCATACGGAAATTCAGTTATATCATATGTATCCAACAAGTATATTTTGATTGATCTATAAGATCTAGTTTTATAGTTCAATTTGAACTGCAAATTAGATATCATACTAAGAGCCGAATGTAATATTACATACAATCTAGCAACCTCCAAATCCTACACACTTTATGTATAACATTTTTACGCATTTGGTTATATATATGTCTAAAAATTGGCCCGTAATATATTTCTATATATACTTTAGTTATTATATTTACAGAGATCCCCAAATTAAAGAATTTAATCCTATGATTAGATCTTTTAAATATGGAAACAAATCCCACCTTAATCAACTAAGGACCCTTCTATTCGTTGTTGCTATATATCCTCTTGCTGTTCATGCATGAGAGAATATTTCTTCAGATATAACCCAAAAGAGAGGATCACTAATTGACTCCACCTTGTTATCATCATTCTATTGCAACAAACCATTTACTCAATGATATGCTCGCGCGCGCACATACACACACAAATATATTGCACTACTCTATATTATTTATATTATTCAATGAAATATGTATGTATAAAATCATTCAAGGATCAGTTAATTAACTGTTAATTAGACAGAATGCAATAACTTACAACAAAACACCACAGAATTTTTCAATATTCAGACTATGTCACAATTTTCTTCTTTGTTACGAATTAGGTTCTCAATATACCTAGGAAAAGAGATTATAGGAATCATGCATATAATCAAACATCAAATCACCTATTGGCCGCTCAAGCAACCCTATCTCTCCCTATTTTATTTCCTCCTGTATTTAAGCTATATTCTATATGAAGAATCTACTGAGACGAATACTAATAAAGATATAGATAAAGTAGTCATAAGGAATATATATATATATATATATATATATATTTATATAATGATTTGATACCTCATAGGATACCAGTACAGACACTTAATTAATAAGAGAAATAAACTGGAGCCCAAATTGATACTGAACAGATATATTTTATGGTACCTTTCTGGAGTAAATAAGAGTCAAGGAATAAGTTAATTAAGTTAATTCTCTCATCTTTGGCAGTGACAGTAACCTAAAAGTGAGACTGGCTAGAGTGACAAGAAGTATTTACTTGAAAGTAGCTAATTAAGTTAAATCTGATCAAAAATGAGAAGAGGGAAAAAGGAAAGAAAACAACTAGCTAGCGAAGCCCGTCCCCTACATGCCTATGTTCATCAGCAAAGAAAAAAGGTGGTCTGGTCAAAGATAGATAGATACACACACACACACACACACATATATATATATGTATATAAATATATATATTGATGTTTGAACTGAAGGGACAGAAGTGGAATCCAATGATGTTTAAGTTAATTAATCATCTTTGCATTATAATTTATAAAAAATGTGGGACATCACCTGATAACATTTGTGGGGTTTATACCGCTGCTAATATATAACTCTCAAAGCTTGATATATTGAAAATATATCCTCCTCTGTCTCTTAATATAAGGCCAATTTTGTAATGTAAGTCCAGTTATTAATATAAGATTTATTTTGTGGAATAATTTTCATTACAAAATAGATCTTACATTTAGAATCGAATGGTTTATCTAATATGATGTATGTATGTATGTATAAACATACGTATAGATCCAATTAATTAACTCTTGTACATGTCCCTAGCTTTAGTCTCTATTAAAAACAAAAGTATGACTTCATGAATTTAGTCCCTATTCCCTTTGTCTTCTTCTAGTCCTTGCTCTCAATATATGGACATCCAATTCATATAATCTTAGTGGATGAAATGAACAATAAAAAAGCAACATATATTACTATATGCAAAGACGAAAGAGTTAAAGGAACCCCTCTATATATATGTTAAAAGAAATGTAAAGATTTGGCATACAATATCAAGAGACATATACACACACCAGCAAGTATATTTATAATCTCTAAAATGCCAATACCACAATGCAACATACAGACCTTACATCAAAGTTACTTAGGCTGCCATATATAATTGATGCTGTGCTGCAGAAAGTGACTGATCAAATATATAAAAGATATGGATACAACAATAATAGAAGGACTTACCCCATATACATCAAGTCAAATTCTTTGGTCATTCACTTCTAAATTCCATTCAAAATAACAAATACAGCTTCTTGAAACTTAAACAGTACCATTACGTAGCTAAGGGAAGAGTTTTAAGCTGATCCAAAGGATATTTGCCAGCGTCATTTAATGTCTAAACGAAGGCTTGGCACAGTACAGATTCTTCAGGACTCAGATGATAGGGACGTCCCTGAAATTAATCAATAAATAATCATCAAAATGAAATCCCATTTGAGACGCATAAGATATTCAAGTAAAAGTGATTAAAATATACAAAGTTCAAGAAATTCTAAGATCACAATATGGGTAGCAGTCAACCAAAGTAATTAATTTGTAGCATGAAAAGATGTAGAAATATGGTTCTCCTTTAACAAAAGAAATGTAAGATTGAAAGTATATAGTAATAAGAAAGATGATAATGATCGATGCTTTGGCACTGTGTTTGGAATAGTGGGAAGAGACAGTGTAATTCATGTACGAAGTCAAACATACATATGTAGCAGCACCAAGGAAAAAGACATTCTTGTAATGAGCATTGAGCAATTGGCCGGGAAAGGAATTGAAAGAGACAGAAGCAAAACAAAAATTCATTAGAACAAGACAAAGTTCTAAATAATTAACAACACCAGAGATTTTGGATTAATTAATTACATTTTGGCAAGCAACTAGATCACTCTAAACAAAACATCTGATTTCTGCAGGCTTTCCCCTCATCATCTCTAGCTGAGATCCTCAATATTTTATCTTTCAGATGGGATAATGACCATTATCCAATTTCGTGGAAGACAATGATAGGATATAGTATAAATTTTGCGAATCCCGAACAAGAAATAAATTAATTCTAAATAACATGAATAGTATGTATAGTTATTTATCATTTTATATGTGTTCACTGAAGATAATGATTGTACGAACGTTTTCAGAATTCATGTTGCATGAAAGGGGACTTGATACTATGCTCGTACCCAAGACATCTTAAACATTGATTGTTACTGTTATACACATACGATTTAGAGTTTTCAAGGTCATGGCTTAGGGTTTACAGTACACTGAGATAGAAAGAAGAAGCACCAGAAGTAATGGACCTACTTCAATTCAAAACGAAACTTTGCCATAGAGTTTTATGAAAAGCAAACTTTGGTTTAGAAGAATCAGTCAATTATCAAACATAAATGTTATAAAATTAAAACTAAAATAGTCCAAATCAGTATAAGGAAAGAAAATCACCATACCTCCTCGATCCTCTGAGAAGCCAAAGAGAAACACTGAAACAAATAATCGTTCCTTTTCGACCAATCTCATCAGCCATTTAATTAAGCATTTCAAATAAGCTTATAAATTAATCTCAACTATATATGTATATATTACATTTCTTTTATATATAAATCGTTGAACCTGATGGTGATGAAAAGGGTACAAATCAAATTATGGAAAGCTAGCTAGCTACAGATATATCACACAGTAACAATTGATTAAGAGAGAAAAATTACCATATATATGCCTTCTTCTCAAATTTTTCACTGCATAGGCAGGTTATTATTTGAGGTCTCGCCGTTGAACTGGGGCTTCATCAACGGATGCCTTTTCTTCTTCTTCTTCTTATAAGGGATACCTCTGGCTTTAGCCTGAGAATCCCTCACTTCACGAAGGTAAACTCTTATGGCTCCACTAGCAAAGGGGTTGGTCTCCGGCAAGCCTCCGTTTTCCTCGTAGGCGGCTCTGAGGCGGCCGATGAGAGCATCGAGGCTGCCCCAGGCTTGTCTGAGAGGGCAAGTGCAGGGACCAGGAGGTTCGGATTGTCCGAAGAAGAGACAACCCTGGAGGTGGACCTTAGTCTTGCCGAACTGGTCGAGATAGCGAAGAAATTCAAGGACATGGTTGAAATTGCACTGTGATAGAGCCACCGGAGGCCTCTGGTTCCGAAGATACTGTCCAAAAGTGTTCCAATCTCTTCGCTTTTGAGATTCATATCGACTCAGAGGCTGAGGCTGAGGCTGAGACGGAGGCTGAGCAAGATGACGATGATCGGAAGGAGCATAATTAGCAGAAGCGGATCTTGATGACGACGATGATGATCCTGGGACTATATCTTTTCCTTTGGTGGAGGAAGACATGGTTTCTTTGTTTCTGCTGTTAAAGATGAGAAATCATTTTCTAGTGCTTTTTCTCAAGTAAGAACAAAAGCAAGGTCTAGTCCTCTATTTTCTTTTGAGTGGGGGTTGAATGAGGGATGATAGAGAACGAGACGATATAGTGCAAGTGGAGGAGAGGTGAAAATGGACTTTTAAAATTTTTTGTAAAAAGATATTTTTAAAAAATCGGTTATCATAATTTTTAGAAGACTTATTTTTTCTTTAAAAATATTTGTTTGTAATAAATTCGCTCCCTTAAAAATTTTGTAAGGCTATGCTTTTATGTACATATGTATTGTCTTTATTTTTCTCAGGGAAATTAATTTGTATTTTGAATCTCAAAAGTTTTATGTTAGTATGTTATGTTTGCGAAAAAGTTATAATATGTACATAATGTCAATATTACTTCTAGTTCTTAATATAATATTCACTTTGTAATGAAAATTACACTATAAAGTAAATCTTACATTAAGAATAAAACTTTTAGATCGCAGGTCTTAACATTTAATTGATGTGTCTCGTTTTGCTTGACCCAAAAGTTATGAAATTGTGTAGAAAAATTTTATGTTCTTTTTTTCTTTTGCTGCCGGAAGAAAAATTTTATACTCAACATTGTAGAATCATGTTTTTATACAAAGTAAACAATTGGTACAATTCATGACTTATAAAATCATATGATTTCGTATATATTTTCTATTATTTCATAAAGCACATAGAAATTCATATCTCTATATATTTTATAAAAAATCCTATTTCAATGTATCATTCATTATTGCAGACCAACCCCAAACGAGTTTAGTGAAGTAATTTTAACGTGTTAGTTTTGTTGCAATTTTAGATGGTTGTTGCTAACATTTTGTCATAAAAACATATTGGTTAATCTTTTTTTATTTACAAATCTTTTTTCATAACTGGATCAACAAGATGTACAATATTTATTTTTAAAAAAGAATAGATATGTTATTTAATATTATCACAAGATTTATGTAATAATTAGCTGAAAAGTTTAACATATTGTGTGACTATATATGTGTGTATTTTTGTCTTATTTTATTTAGAACATCTCAAATCAAAGGTGCAAGTGAGATAGGACGCAGTGTGGGACCACTTAAAATGCTTTAGCCACTCTTATTTCTTGCTTTTGATGGTAGTACATTTGCATTAACCATTCTCACTTTATTTTTCCTCTTTATATATTTATTTAATATTGTGTTTCTATCACCAAAGCAATAATTGGGCAACTCAGAGGCGTAATTGATACTAAGGCTATATTACCTTATGACCATTTTTCAAAAAGTCTAGGGCATATGTTTGGGAGGCAATGGTAAATCAACATTGAAAAAACAAAATCTTCGGTATTTAAACTTAAATATTTCAGGTGTTTTTGTCAATCAAAATATAATCAGTATATTTATAATTGATCTTATAACCATTTTTTATTATTCACTAATTGACCCTTTCTTAACTAATTCTTTTTTTAAAAATTACCGTGAGGTCCCAATAGAAGAATATAATTATAAAAAAGTCATAATGATAAACGGGTGGCTAAAACTTGTTGTTATTTTCTTGTACTGAAACTCATCATTATAAGCTGCTAAGTTATTATACGACTTAAATACATTCTTTTTCATAGCACCTTATAGTAATTCTCCTTTTTTTTTGGGTCAGTTTTGGAGGTATTTCAACATTCAAACAAATCAATTCTTGATTCGACCTGATCTTGACAATATTAGTTTGAAGCAGTATTTACAATTCAATTTTTAGCAAAATTTTTAGACTTAAGAAAGACTTTCCATATATAACCCTCTCCTTAACATACACTACTTCCGATCCTAATTATAAGAGCTAGTTGATTAATTTGAGAAAATTAAGGAAACAAGTTAAGTTAGTTATTTGTAATAAACAGGTATTGTCTTTCCCTTGCTAATCAAATGTGCTGGCTAAAATTACTATTATTAGAATGACTATATTAGGAAAAAATACATAAATATGAGAGATAAAGTGAATTGAGATGTTATATTTAGGACCAAAATAAAAATCAAATGAGGTCTTATATTAAGAAACGGAGGTAGTATATTCACATGGGTTAGGGTTGTGTTGTATTACACTTATGTATCCATATATACAGACCTTTTTAATTTTGGTCCCTTTTCAGGCGATTTTCTTTTGTTTTTTATTGGAAGTGGAACTAAATCGAACAGCCTTAAGGTTAAGACGGAAAATATAAATCAATACAAATGGCAGAAAGAAGTGGTCATAATTTTTTTTGTAAGAATAAACTTTAGTCTAGGAAAAAAAACATTTTAATTAGAAATGTTAGGATTCATTCATCCAATATTTGTTCTCCATGCTTCCAAATATATCATAACAATTAGATTTTTTTTTTTTGTAACATAAACATTAAGACCTATGAATAAATAAAATGAATCCTCAGATATAGGAATATATATACTTCCACTAGCGTCATATAAATACCCACACACACACACACACACACACACACACACACACACAGTCACATCTCTCTTTTGCTTTTAATTATCAATTCACAGATAATTTGACATTCTTACGAAAGATTATATAAATACTTAAAATTGAAATTTCCTAACCACTCCGTACGAAGTTTTTCAACGTACAACAATATAGACTTTTTAACAACAATTATGCTGTGTTTTCACTCTGATGTGAGAAAAGCATATAGCCACAAGGAAAGCACTAGTTTTTTGTCGCAAATATATATTTCCTTTTCTTAAGAACGTACTAATTAATATGTCAATATAAAATTTGAAAGCAAGTTGCAATATTCAAACGTACATACAGGCCACGATATCTACTACTCTCTCTAGTGCTAAACGTAAGAGTTAGCTTAGGGTTTTGCTTCCATCATAAACATAAGAACTCAATCTACTTTATCTCTTATATTTATAAACTTTCTTTCCCAAGCCATCCCTATTGATCACCTATATTAAAGGGAGAATCCATCAATAGGAATAATAATTGAAGAAGAGTTTTTTTTTTATAATATAATTGAGAGTATCCTTAAGTCACTTTGGACTTGAGATTGGGACGTAAAGGTTAAATTCCTTCCAAAAAATGTGCTTCCTGTTATTTGAACTTTTGTTCTCCTCTTTACCAGGATGAGACCGCTTATCATCTCAACCAACAATTTGTTAGTAATTAAAGAAGTTATTTTAGAAAAACAAACATACGTTTATTACAAATAATTAACTAACTTACCTAATTTTTTTAATATCTATATATTAGTTATATAGGTCTTATATCTAGGATTAGAGGAAGTATTTATATCTAGTTTCACATAATGTAAAGAACAATGTGTCATCTACTGATAGAATGCCATATGTGGCCAAGAAAGTTTCAAATAAATAGTAATCTTTCAAAAAAGGAAAGTTTAATTCAGAATACTATCAGCCCTAAAGCTAATTTAAGATCAGCTTATTCCTTAATTTTAGGAAAATATTTATATTAAATTTTTTATATTTGTTATGTCCAGTTCTTTAACTACACATGAATATGTGTCTTATTTTTCAAATATTGGCATTTAATTATAAATTCACATTTAAAAAAAACACACAATCATTTATGATCAGAAAACCTAACAAAAGATATAAGAAACTTGACCTAAGTATTTTTCTTAATTTTGTTACACTAAACAGTAAACACACACCTGAAGGGCCCAAAAAACAGGAAAGAAACCTTAATCAAAATGAAAGATTTTCCCAATCAATGAAACCTAAAGCTAAAGATCGACGACTAATTACTAGACCCACGGGCATGAATTATTTGAGTTTGATTCTTGCAAAACAATATATATTCATATTATTAAAATCGTCAATCTATAGCAATCATTATTTAAAAGGCTAATGAAAGTAAGGATATCCTACTGTCCACTAGCTGGCTATAGCCACTGCTTAGGACAATTACAATTTACAATTTACAATATCAAAAATATCCCTTTCATGTAATCATATTTTGAATATGAAGGATTTTGGTTATCGCATTTTCCTAATTAGTATGATAGCATCTGCACTCATGATGAGCATCACTCAATTTTCAATATAATATTCACTAAATATAGGGATTATTTAAATATATCAAAATATGAATTTCTATGGACACTATATCTCCTTAAAACAACGCCAAAAGTTCGAATTTTTTTGTAGATAAACAAATAACCACCTTAAATAATTTTTTTTAATATCTTTAAATTATTTTAATATACACATTTGTAGTATACTAGAAAATTTGTTCTCAATTAAATCCAAAAATAATTAATTTAATCAGATTATATACATATATAACGATCAAATTAGGATACATAGAATTCTTTTATACATCTCTTACCCCATATGAGTAACTATTGTTATTAATACTTCAACTTATTTTTAAGTAACTTATATACTTTAAGTGCTTGTTTACAGTCAAATTAAGATATGAGAGTTTTTTATATTATTTATTTTAAAGAAAACCGTTTTGTATATATTTTTACTACTTTAAAATGCATTTATTCTGATTTGATTGGACAAAAAAAATTAAGCATATTAATTTTAGAACTAATATAAGTACTTCTTCTCCATTTAAAATCCACTTGTTTTTCATTAAAAAAATTAAAATTCGTTTGTTTTAATTTTATTTGAAAAAAATATCTTAATTAAGTACATACAAGGTTAAATACCTCTTTTTCCCTTAATCAATCTTGATAAGAGAATATGCCAAATTAAAGGGGAAACTTGATTGAACAAAAGATCAGATGATAAATAACAGTATCCTGTATCCTACGTAGCCGCTTATTTTTCTATATAAGTTATATTTCTAGCACATTATTTAGTTGATATAGAAATATTTTAAAGAGTTAATATCATTTTTAATCCCTGAAGTTTGGCCTTGTTTTTGTTTCAATATTCAAAAATTGTGACTAACGGTTTTAGTTTTTGAAATTTGATCTCATTTTTTGTCTGCCTAAAAATTTT